AAGCCCTGGCTACGGCCTCCACTTCTTCCCGATGTGAAGACCCAGAAAAGGTCCCTATGTAGAGGCAAAGAGAGCCTCAAAAAGAGAGGACCTGCGGTTTAGACCTTTCTTCCTTTTCCTTCAATTTCTTTCTAATAGCTATCTATGGCCTATGGCCTCCCTACTAGCGATGGCCTCCAGAGCACAAGGAGCCTCCCGAAGCCTCAAAGAGCCCAAGGATCCAACCCGACGTAGCGTTGCTTCCGAAAAGGACCGTCGGTGGCGCCTGTAGAGGTGCCAAGCTGTGGTCATGGGACCAGGATCGAAGCAGCTCACCGCCACCGTGTGGTCCGACTCGGCCTGTGGACCCAAAAGCATACGCGATACGCAGTCGGAGCGGAGCGACCAGAGGCCGTGACCCGCAAACGCTTTTGGAGTTCATAGGCAAACATCACATTGCCTCAGCCAAGCAGGGGCCAAGCAAGACACATGAAGAACAAGGCTTTTCCAGTCCAAGTGGCAAAGCGCTGCTTGACCAAAGGCCTTCCACGGCCTTCTGCAATCATGTCAGAGCATGATAGCTTAACACAGCTCTTGAAAGCACATACGAAGCCATCTGGGTTTCGTGATGTCAAAAAATGTGTGGTATCGGTAGCTCAGTTAATTCTTCATTCTCCACAGGACGCCAAGTCATCTGCTACTGGACATCCTAACTGTAGGAAGAACAAGGAGCATAGCAGCATAGCTCGCCCTGGACGTGTCATAGAATATTGAACTGATCAGTTCAGGGATATGTTCCGCTGTGTTCATCGCCTGTATGCTCCAGGTCCTTCCAGTTGCAAGTCCTGGCAGCGAAGAACCTTCACTTGGTCTGCCGTCCTTGGGTGTTCACTTTGGAATGTAGACAACATGCTGAGAAAAACGCAGGAATGTTTGATGGTCTCTCTCTCTCTCTCTGTCTCTCTCTCTCTCTCTCTCTCGCTCTGACCCTGTGGCTACTCGGCAACGGATGAGGACACTGGATATGAACTGAAAGGATGCTTGAACAACAACGAAACTCCCAGGGCTAAGTAGAGTGACATTTTAATATATCATAAACTCTCCTTACCCTCCTTTCGGTTACTGGTGGACACTCTCAGCATCAAAAATAGATAAAGGTCGCTCGCTGCTGGAAAAAAAGGGAACTGTCATCTTTTGGCGGTCCCAGGGTGGATTTGTTGCATCTCTATTGGTCGCTCAATCCTCCTCCATAACATCGATGTCCAAGACTGGCACCGAAACAGTCTGCGATTTTGCCAAGACCGTCTCAGGGAGGTTCAACCTCCCTTTCCCAGCATGAAATCCGGCAGAAACAAATCTGGACTGCATTCTTTGAATTTTTCAAAGATTGAACTTCATGAAACACATCAATTCTCTCCCAGGTGACTTCAGCCCCCCCCTCTCTCACCAGTCTGAATCACCTGCACGTCGTTCTGCGCCAGCGGCAGAGCGGCACCCAGCGCGGCAAAGCCCAGTTGAGGCTCTCCACGGTGACGCGAGGAGCTGCACAGCAAGACCTTGGGTGCCCGAGGGAGGAGCTCCGCGAGGTTCAACTCCGAGGCGATGATCAAAAGCGAAGAGCCTTTGAATAGAATTGGAAAAGTCATACTTAAGGAGTCGACATGGAGTTGGGTGATTTTGAGTTCCATCCGGCCGTGGATGTGTTGATCCTTGCTCGTGTTGCTTCTCCGTTTTGGTCCGGGGATTGCACTGGTGGGGGTTCGCCACCAAATCTCGGTTCGCGGATGATGTCTCACTTTGGGATTGGTGTGGCATTTGCGCCATGAGCAAGCAGCAAAAGATTCAAGTGCAGAGCATAATAAACACCTCGCCACATGTCCGAAATCTGCTGAATCTGCTACCGTTTACGCGGATTGTATGCCCAGGGTGCTTTGCATGGATCATCCAAAGTGCCACCCTTCTTCAGGTTCTCCATCAAGCGAGAAACCTTCGCAGTCGGCTTGTACTGACCACTGATGACAGTGATCAGACTAGAGACCACTTGCAGAGCGATTGATTGAGCAGTGACTATGCTGACATATGCTGACGCATCAAGCACTGGGCACAACCTGTAAATCCAGATCGATCACTCATCACCATGCCAGACAAACTATAAGTCAGGAGAGGGAACTACAAAGAGAACAAGCCTCTCTTTGAAGCAACTGATGAAATGTCCTACAATATACACAACTTGGCAACTATAACCTGGAGATTAGATATTGACTTCAAGCATCAGCAGTTCGAGGCCAGCAGTTGATTATTTGCTTCCTCCGCATTCATCCCGAAAAAGAATAAAACCTCCGCACCCATCGATCGCTTTTGTGAGGACCAGTGAGGAGCTGACCATGTTGAAGCGTGAGAGGTAATTGAGGCCGAAGTGCATCTCATAGCCGTCGCACGTCTCCTGGAGATGCATCGACAGGCCCTGAGAAGTTCTGAAACCAGTAAGATCCAAGGGAGGAAGCCAGTGAAAGAGAGGGAAGTTTGCTCCGCAGCTGAAGGTACCGTTCCTTCCTAAAGATCTGCTTGATAAAAATGGATCAAAACAGTGCGTGAATTGCCCGGACATCCTCCCGTGAATCGAGTGCAGTCACACCAGCTGCGAGCACAAGTCCATGAATGGCTCGATGGCCCAAGCCGTCGCAGAAGTGACACACCTCGTGGGCATTGCTACTAGTAGCAGGAAGCTACTAGTAGCTCCTGGCATTACTGGCATTCCTAGTAGTAACAAGAAGCTATACTAGTAGCAAAGTGCATTGCCACTAGTAGCAGTAGCAGGAAGCTATTTCGACGTCGTTGTCTGAACCCGACAAAACATCGTCAGACGCGACCCCCATCCCATCGACCCTGAGCTCAAAATCTGTCTGTTAGAATGTCAACCACCCAAAGAGCGTTGCACTGTTCTGCTGTGGGTGTTTTGTTGGCTTGTTGGACCGTTTACATCATGTTGCATCCTTTCAGCAGATCTGGCTTCCCATTCTTGCGTTTTGAGAGTGCCTGGGCCTGATCTGCCAGATCAACGGCTTCAAAGGCAGCTTTCACTCCAGCCTCAGAAGCAATCGCACCAGGTTTCAGGAGAGGCTCAGTTCGGGGGCACTTCTACGTGATGAGTTTGTTAAACCCCATGCTGCATAATGCTGTTGCTTCCTTCCGCACTATGACAGTACCACAACAAGAAAATGAAGTAGAACCTTTGCAAAATTATCCAAATGTGATTGCTGTTCTGTTTAGGGGAGTTTTTAAACACCTGGTGGAGAGGAGCTTATTTGATGAAAAAAACTAGTGATGGGCTTCGACTGCCAAGTCACTTCCTGCAGCTCCTTCACAACAGCTTCACCGCGCTCATGGTCACGGCCAACAATGAGAATCCTGCACATCGTTTGATTTCATCCAATTTCCATTTGACAACAAATTTGAGATCATTAAAGACCTAGCTAAATCAAACTGAGACAAAGATGACCAACATTGTTCACAACAGCCAATCCAACTGTCTCTGTCAGATCAGCCCCGATCGCCTCTGAAAGCGCCCCGAGCTGGCCAAACCACGTGCAACGGCTGCACCGAAACGACTCGTGCCCCCGGTGACGATGCAAAGGCGCTCCGGTTCCTGCGTGGAATCGACAACCAATCGGAAGAAGATCGGGTTTGTGGAGTGAAACATGCTCCTCCGAACTCGGGGCTTAACGATTCCAGCAAGGCTACCCCACCGAGCTACGTCTTGCCTTCGGATGCCTTCGGCTATCGGTCACGAGGTGCAGAGACAACATCTCGGAGGGCCTAAAGACCATGAGAATCCACTCGACATTGAAATTGAACTTGCGGAGGGCGACATTCGTTCTCCACCCGTCAAAACAAGTGCTCTGTGAACGTGCGACATTGAATGTCTTTCACTGTCCGAAGTAAGTAAAGTTCCTGGAAAGAGCACAGTTAGAAACCTTCCAAGATGTTCTTGTCTTTGGCGCCATGCACAAACTGATGACAATGTCAAACCCCATGCTTGCCTTCACATCAGAAAACTGCATGCTCCTGCCAAAGCCAGTCTAACATAACGAACGAAGCTGGGGTAAGAGGTTTCATGAGGCTTCTGGGTTCCAAGAAACTATACTCACAGGCCTTAACAACTGCAAGGGTGAACATTGAGCCTCAAAATCCACGTGCTGCCCCAGTGTGTAAAAGCGATCTCTTGCAGCCAACTCAATTTCCAAGGAACTCACCCACTTTGTAGAACTGCAACTCAGTCCTTCCCAATACGGTTTAGATGGGTTTAGGGTGTTGGAGGCCATCGCTATTAGGTGTAGTTTATGGTGTTTTTCTTCACCGAAAAGGAGCTCCAACCGCTTTGCGCTCTCGAGCCGCTCTCCTCAGCTCGCGCGGCTCCGCTGCATCGTAGCGCCGTGTGGTGCGCGTGCGCCGCGCGAGACTGCAGGAACCGACGAGTCGATCGAGTCGAGTCGAGTTGACGAGCGATGAGACGAGTGGGGGGGGAGGGGAAGGTCTTGGCCCATGAGGTTTCTTTGAGGTGCGAAATGGTCAGAACGAAAAAAGGGCTCTTTCAGCCTTGGTAGAAAGCTAACCGGTATGTGTGTGTGTGTGCATTGTTCTTCTTCGCTGAGTCTTTGTGCCGAGAAGCCGGTTATATTGGTTGAAATATGTCCAGGTCGGAGACACGTCAAAAGGAACAACTCTGTGTCCGCAATTACCGTGCAACACTTCGGGCTAAGTATCAGCATCAGCACTTCCGACATGATTCGATAAAGCAGTCGATAGGTGGTTTCCTCAAGACTGAAAAAAAACACCTGAAAAGACGGGTCAGTTGAACAGGCACCTGGAGTTGTGCTGTCAATTTCTTCGAAGTTCGACCTGTTCGACCTCACCTCAAGCCGCCCAAGAAGAGTGCGCCAGAGGAAAGGCCTGAAGACAGGCCTCAACAAAAAGCACAGAAACTGCGAATCTGAACGTCCTGCAGCACAGACTTCCACAGAGTGCCACAATGCCGTAAGACTCCTCGCATCCTTTTCCGCGTTCTGCAACAGCTGTTCTCACTCTGTGTTCTTTTGTGAGCCTAAGCGGGCCTGGTGCGGTTTGGTTGACTTCGCAGAAGTCCAGCGGCAAGCGAGTCAAGCAGCTTTCCAATGTCCCCCCGGCAGAGACCCTGAAGGCAACAACAGAACAAGAACAGCTCAGTCATTTTCTCGCACCGCTCAGTCCTCACAACATGTCGCACGGTTTCATTAAGTTGGTGTTTGCTTTGGGAGGATGCGAGCCAAGCCATCTGATCTCCGTGAGAGCTTTCTCAAGCAGTGAGTTGAGCTCTGCAATTTCCTCCTTTGCCTT